CGCTGCACCCCGGCCTGGCGCTGCCTGCCAAGGAGAAGAAGGGCTCTCCCGTCCCCTTCTCCCCCTGCTACGCTGCCTTTGAGAAGTACAGGGGCACCCCCTTCCCGGAAGCCAGCTGCCCTGCCGCCCACAGCCAGCAGAAGGCGTCCGAGGTGCCCAGCCTCAGCCCGGATCCCTGGCCCAAGCTCCAGCCGCCAGCCGCCAGCCCAGCGTACCAGCGGGAGCGGGCGCACACCCCGTACCCGCTGTCCCTCCAGAAAGCCGCCCTCCTCTACCACCCCCCAGCTCTCCCTGCGGAGGCGCAGCCCGGTGCTCTGCCCGCCGCCTACAAAGGCTTTGGCTTTGCGGGGTGCGAGGAACCTTTCTCCAGCTCCTACCTCAAGCCCCAATCCCCGAGGAGCTACTTCCCCAGCCCCTTAGACCCCTACGTGGCGCGGGCAGCAGGCACTGGCACGATGCCGCAGGCAGCGGCACTGCCGAGGGACACCGAGCCGCCAAGGAGAGCCGGCTACTTGCCGAGCCCCGGCTTTGACTTCGGTCCAGGAAGCACAGAGACGGGCTGTGAGCGGCCCAAGGCAGAAAGTCCCCAGCGACAAGCAGGGAGGAGGCACAGCAGTGCCTTCCAGCCTGTCTGCGCCCCAGAGAAGGTGCCTGGGGATGCTGGTGGACTCGCAGAGACGCTTCCTGAAGGAGAAGGGGGCTGGGTAAAACCCAGCCATGGGGAGCAGGAGACCTCTTACCCGGGGAGAAGAAGGACCAGCCCGGCCCCACGGGAGACCCCCCACGGGGAAGCACCGGCTCTCATCATCATAGGTAAGGGAGATGCCTGCAAGGTCAAGGATGCAGCCAAGGAGCTCATCCCCTCTTCTCCATCCACCTCCTCCCCGGAGGGGCTGAAAGATGCAAAGGACGGGGAGGTTTCTCCATCCTCCCCACCCATGCCGGTGATCAACAACGTCTTCAGCCTGGCACCTTACCAGGACTACCTGGAGGGGACCGAGGGTTCTGCCCAGGTCCCCTTCTGCAGGGAGCATCTGCAAGGGGACGCCCCAGCCCACAGCACAGGGTACAGCCAGGAGCCCGCTGCCCTCAGAGACATCTCGGGGAGGTCCAGCCTGCTGCTCGTGGGGACGGCAGCCAGACGGAAGCTGAAGATGGGCGACAGCACAGTCCAGAGTCAGGGGGAAAGATGTTACAGAAAGGTCCCCGAAAAGCCAAAGCTCTTGCCCCAAGACTCAGGGTCTCAGCAGAGTGGCCCTGCTGGGGCAGGGAGCAAGGAGCCAGCTCCTGAGGATGTGGTGCTGGACCTCAGCTTGAAGAAGAGACTAGTGAAAGCCATGGAGACCCAGGGAGCCACCAGCAGGGCGGAGGGGATGCCAGAGGGGGAGGACATAGAGGAGGAGAAAGAGGGTCCGGGGGGAAGGGCGGTGGCGGGAGAAGGGGCCAAGCCCCAGGTGCTGCCCTTGCTGCTTGAGGTGGGCTCCGGGGACAAGAGCAACTTCCAGAGCTCGGCCACCTTCATGTTCAAAAAATTCAAGATCCTGCGCTCCCTCCCGGCCGGCAC